ATTGGACAATCAAATAAAAATCTCGTGACTTTGTTTGATCAAAAAAAAGTTTAAGACGATGCATCTTTTTACCCATTTTTTAGCCTGTTTCTGTACAAGATGAAGCTTTAAATGTGCTGTAAAAAAAGTAAATGCACCTTCGGCTTTCTTAAGTATCTAATCGGCTATTGGGTGTCTAAATTTTCGTATCTGATTGTTTGGCAAGTATTACTGGCGTTTAAGCAGAAACCGAGACCTTTGTATAAAAATTGGCACCGTTTTATTTTCATATGTTAAAATCGAGTTTATTCGGCTTGAACATATGAAAATAAAACTGATTTTAAGTTCCACTTGTCACTTGTCACCTAGTATATAACTAGTCATTTTGCTACTTATTTAATCATTTGCTAATTTTTTTTTTAAGTTCACAATAGAAACTGTACTGCACAGAATAATATGGTCCTAAAATTCTATGATGTATTTATATGTATTATGAGTTATTAGTAAAACTTAACTTATAAACTCTGGGACAAATTAAAAAAATTTGTTCGTTACCTGAAATCTTTTCGGTTTCATTCCGTAAATCACTTAACTCTCTGGAAACTACATCTCTGCCTCTGGACTGAATGTTCGAAGATAGAATATAGTTTACGAAGAGTTAGGTGATTTACAAGACGAAACCGAAATGATTTTTGGTAACGTGCAAAATTTTAATTTGTCCAAAATTTATGAGAACAGCTATAAATCGTATTTAAATAATCCATTTGATTGGCAAACACCAGCACTAGATTAAATAGCATAATTGTATGTATACAGGTGGACGAAATTATGTCAAAATTATTATGGCTTATATTGTGACTAGTTTCGAATAGACAAAAATACTTTCGGTCATAGCGTGAGTACATACGCATATATTATTTACTTGATTACAAATCGATGATGAAAGCATTCAACCACCAAAGATTTACAAACTTATCATTAAAAATTATACGGTGGTCGAACACTTTGTTCTCGTTTATATTTCAGACCACACTCGTTTTTCAGACTCGGTGGATTTGGTTTTATGTTCAGATATAATTCGAATTCGAAGAAAATCGGGTTTTAAATCCAAAGGCCGAAAACTTCATTTATGCTATAAAAGTAATAAAAACATGTAGTTTAATATTTACGTGATTTAAGATCCATAAAATTAAAATCATAACTTCATAACTATAAACTAGTGTTTTTTTTCAGGTTAATATATAAGTTTAATTGAAATATAGGTACAATTATATATATTTTTTGCTTAATGCTTATAACATTATTATCTAAATCAATCACTAAATTGGTTCAAATATGGTGTTTTTTTTGGTGTCAAGCTCCGCCTTGCTTAGCCTTGTCACAATTTGGAAATGCAGTATGTATGTTAACACAATTTAATAGTCATGTTATTTGATATAAATTTAGAGTCTTTTACCATCATCTGAAATGCCGTGAACGAAGTCACAGGGCAGTCATTTGTCACGAGATCAGTAACTCGATCAATGAGGTAATTCAAAGGTAATGGAGTAATGTGTATGTAAGTAGTTAGAGAAATGGAATGATGTCATGTCATTTGGGTAAGTATGAGGTCACAAGTGAAAGGTATATAAAGGAGTTAGTAAGAGAATTTGGAGACATCTTTTTTCTTTGCTGCAAGCTCGACGCAAGTCTAGCTCGTCGTTACCCTTCCACCCACCCGAAAGGGCAAGTTATTCAGGTAGGAGCTTTGTAGCCCAGCTGGACAAGCTGGATACAAAACGGTACTGGGTGGCCTGGGTGAGCAATCTGGTTTTCACATCGCTGAATAGGAATATAAGTAAAAGCGGAACAAATATAAAAGAATAGTAGAATAGGAGCGATTCTAAAAACAGCTGGTGATCACGTAATGCAGCGAGGAAATCCCATTTGTTTATTTCGTAGTAATGTTTTCAGTTGGGATCGAGTGACAAATTTTCTATGAAAAATCTAACAAAAAACAAATAAAGGTCAAAAAAAGATTCATTTCCGAATAATAGTAAATAAACTCTTTCATATATTTATTGTAATAATTATTGTCGTGGCTGATGCTGAAATTTGACCTATTCTGATATGAAAATTTAAAGTTTAGGTGTTTTGCCTTTTTTTTTTTGTTTTTTTTTTAGAATTGGGTTAGAATTGATAATTAATTTGTATTGTCACCATCGAATGGGAGAGCTAACACCCATGCCGAGTTTTAACTCTGATGGTTGACGTAAGGGAGATGCGGTGCAGCACGTCCGTAATCTGTGACAGGTTAAGCCACGAATTTCAATCACCATCTGACTATATTCCCAGCGTAAAACTTGACTGTCATAAACTATTAAATTTAAAAACTTATAACATATCGGCCGATTTGTGGAATTTGATAAATAGGAAAACCAATCTGTCATAGCTCTAGTCAAATTTGCAGATTATTTCACCAGATTTAAAGTCAAATAAATTCAAACTTGGTCAAATAATCTGCAACTTTGACCAGAGCTATGACAGATTGGTTTCTCTATTTATCAAATTCCACAAATCGGCCGATATGAATTCAAAAGCTGCCTTTTAATATTAACTAAACAAATATTTATATAAAAAACTGCAAGCTTTTAATTTTCGTAATGTCGGCCTAATAATTTGACAATTTGAATTAATAATTAAAAATGAAATGTTGCCGAAAATATCGTTCTCTACAATTTCTTAATTCCGAGCTATAAGTTGTTTAAAATATTTCCAAATTTGTATAACTTGCGAGGCATTTGAAGGACTTTCATATTAAATTTTATTATTATTTTTTTATAAACTTTATCAAAAAATTGGTTCTCTTAAGCCTTATTAGAAGTCGATAGAGTTATTTAGACTTTTAATTTGTACACTTTACTTGTGTTAGATTAAAAAAAAAAAAAAAAAAAAATTTATAAAATCGCAAAAAAATAAAGAATAACCAAATACACCAAATCGTTTTTTATGTACTCAACATCAGCAGTGATTGAAATCAGTGGCTTAACCTGTCACAGATTACGGACGTGCTGCGGTGCATGATGGAAAATTAAGGAATTCGGGATTTCACATGATTAGTAGGCATTTATTATATAAAAGAATTTAGGTTTATGTATTCTTTAGTTAGAGACGATTTCAGAGAGCATACTTCCTCCTGAGGTAAGGGCAAGGGCAACCTTTAAATACATTCTCATTTCTTATGAGGTCTATGCTAAGAATATAGCATCTATGTTATAACTCTGAATCCCACATGCTTTCTCACGGGCAACTCATTCTATCAGGTTTATGCGAGAGCGTATACGCGACTAGGGGAAATTCACATGGGTTAAGCTACTAAAACCTAAGAATGCCTAATATTATAAAGATAAGATTAACACCATTTATGGAAGGTATGTGACAACTTAATTAATTAGACAAATACGGAAATGAGAGACACTGGAAAAAATTATTCGTTACAGTATACGTATGTGAATTTTAGCATGGTTCATATTTTCAAATCGAGACCCCAAATTTCGGCACCATCCGTGACAGTTATTATTACTGTTAATGATACGATTATAATTATGCTTTCTATTACAGTTTGTAATTACCAACAAACATAGTATACTGGGTAAATGCATTGTACGTATGTCCGGAGCAAGTATTAAAATTATATTACTATACAATATATGTGTTACGACAATCTTCATGTGATGTGGCCGGACAAACAAACTTGCATATCACTCTTTACAGAATAATATAAAGTCCTTCGCTACGCTCCGGACAAATAAAAACGCAAGAACTTTTTTCGTGTAGATCCTATCAAAAAGAGTATACGTAGTAAGCGTTTTAACAATCTTCGATCGGAATCTATTTTATTCAAGTTACCAATTGGTTTGTATTTATTATTCATAAAATACAAACTATTCTCGGATAGAAAAAAAATAGGAACAAACTTATGACTGCGCTGATAAATAGTTAGGAATGCTTTCTTATTCATCCATAATATCTAATAAAACCTCGTTTGAAACTTTTTTGAAAAATGTACATATAAATTTTAAGTTATTAAATTATAATGACTTTAATTTTTTTTTTTTTTTTTGAAAAATAGTTACCGTATGTAGAAGTTTCTGTTCGAATAACATTTGGAGGTTCTATTAAAAATAATAAATTTACTATATATATAGATATTTATATAAAACTGCAATTGTTACAATACCTGAACTTATTTGCATGCTTTGTAAGATTAATGCACTTTTGATCAATGAATTTAGTGGGCGGCTTTTATATATCGCTTGAGGATGATGTTCTCTATTTATTTGAACATGTGAAACTTCAGGAAATTTAAAAGATTTTTCATACTTGTAATTGATATCTCTCAATAATTCATCTGCAGTAGGTCTTTTTAATGGATCAGCATTCCAACATTTCTTCATTAATTCAACAAACTGAGATGGTGTATTAGTTAAAATTTCTGGGCGAAGGCCATTGAGAATATCTAAAATAAGCTTTTCATCATGTTTACAATTAGAAAATGGTTTACACCCACTCGTCATCTCCCAAATAATTATTCCCAAACTATATATATCTGAAGCTGCTGTAAATTTTCTTTCTTTAAATATTTCTGGCGCAATATATGGAATAACACCGTATATTTCTTCATCATCTGATGATTCATATGCTGGTCTACTAATTCCAAAATCACAGATAGCTATTTCATGACTGACTTTGACAAGTATATTACCACTGTGAAAATCTCGATGAATGATTCCTTTTCTATGAAGCTTTTTAAGTCCATGCATTATATTTTTTAACATATCTAACTTTCCCAACCAAGATAGAGCATTGGTATTTTCCATTAGAAACTGATGCAGATCGCCATTTTTTATGTATTCCATAATAATCATAAAGTTATTTGTTTGCAAATCTTGAGTAATACTGAAAGATTTATTAAAATATTCGTCATCATTCCTAGCAGATTTTATGCATCTATAGTAAATTTTTAGCTAAATAAAAAAACGTCAAGAATTAAAATACTATAGTAAAATACCAGTATTAAAAATTATACACTTATAAATGGATATTATTATTTAAAATACTAACCTCATTTAAAAAGTCAGATCCGATATATTTAGAATCATTAAGACTTTTAAGAACAACTGTACAATTTTTATGCCTGTGAAATCTTTGTTTCTTTGAATACCATGAAGTTAATGGTCCATCTTTCCAAGTTGCTTTATATATTTTACTAAAACCTCCCTCGGAAAGATATTTAATATTAATAAAATGTTCATATGGAACATATTCTAACCTTTTAGATTTATTACTGACCCCTGGAGCAGTAAATGTCTCTTTGACAAAATTGTCAACAGTTTGTTACCACTTTGTGGTATTTGAAGTAATAAATCACAATATACACAGTGTTGAGAATCAGCATCTTTGTGATGTCGTCTAAAGGAACATTTTACGCATTTTTTGGTCAAATCATCATCTACATGCTTCTGCTTAGAAGTACCTTTGTAATCGATAAATTCCATATTATTTGTGGATTTTTAATTGTCTTTTATACTATATGATTAGTATATCTATTCTGTAAATTTCGAAAAAAAGTAGATAATGACAGTACAGCAGTACCAAAAGAGCTTTCTGAGAAATTCTTATATATAATGAAGTAGATACTATATAAATGGAAACAATTACTAAATTTAGAACCTTCTAAAAGTATAACCTTTTTTTAAACAAAGTTGTAAGGATTACTAAACAAAGTTATAAGGATTACCATCATTACAGGAGTATATTTGGATAAAAGTTCTTTATATATTTCTCTGAGAAAATCTTGTAAACATATATATGAAGAGAGTATACATAAATGGAAATTTAGAACTTCGATGTCGAAACCTAATTTTCCATTATTCCGCGAATATGTAACAAAATAAAAAAGCAAAAAAAAATAGATATATAGTGTACAGAAGATAATTTAGTACGGTATTTTATAAAATTTTGAAATGATACGATACAGTACAAAGATACATATATATTTAAAGATAATTTCGTACTGTATTGTATAAAATTCGAAATGATATGACATGGTACACCACTTATAGTAATGCAATAAATGATTAGAGCCTTTGGTACAGGATTACATTGTACTGTAAACTCTCAGCGTAGCCAACAAAACATCTCTGGCACGTGATGATCGACAGAAAATTAACCAATAGCTAATAGTTATTTGATATAACGCAGCACGATCAGGAAAAGTCAAAGCAAACGTTCGTTTTGCCGAAAATCGCTCGTAGCTCAAAAATCTGCATAAGAAATCACCTTTAGCGCTTTAACAAAAGCCTTTCTTGGGCGATTTTACTACTAACATATAATTCTAACATAATCGCATTTTCAATAGTTGAATGTTATAAAGTTCAGTATAGGACAACATAAAAAATTACCTCTATAAGGAATTTCAAAGTTTTTATTATAAGAATTGTCAGTTCATTAGATGAAAGTTAGATGTATATAATTTTTTCATTCATTTAAATTCATATTTCAACAAAAAATAATAGCAGAAATACAAGAGAAAACAATAAACAAATAATTACAATACATTCACATTTCACATTATAGTAAAGTTATATCAATACTAGACTTACAAATGTTAATCTTAAAAATACTAGACTTCAAAATACTAGACTTGAAAATACTAAATTTGAAAATACTATATATATATATATATTTTTTTAAAAAAAAAGAAAAAATGAACTATACAGTGACACAAATTATCAATACAACAGATATTGTTTAGTACAAAAAATTATAATAAAACCAAATTATAATTTACTTTAATATTTGATATATTATGAAAAATTGATATTACAGAGTTATCAATATAATGAAATAAAAGACTGAAACTATAGTCTCTGTTTTATAATTCTGTAATTCAAATTCTTTATTATTTAAGAATTTTTATAATAAGATAAGTTGTATTTGTACAAGTTAGTTCTTCCTATTATTTAACTTGTAAGTATATTTTTAGAACTCTACAATTTTTTGTAATTTTATTTTAATTATGTATTTATTTAGCATAAATGCAACCTAATTTATTTATAAATCTAATTATAGCAAATACTTATTATAATGAGTTTTTTTAAATATAACAAACTATGAAATATTAAATTTATATTATTAAGTTTGAAATATATAGATTTGTATATCAATAATTCAATATTAATAAAATTATTATTTAATAATCAAGATTTTTTTAGGATTTGTTTAACTATTTATTTTGATCTATAATAATAGTTTTGTTTTTTAAAAAACAATTAAACTTTTTTTAAAAAAAAAATTTATTCAAAAAAATATTTAAAAAATTATAAGATCTAACTATTGTAAGCCTGTATTCTTAATTATAATAATATATAAGTTATACAATTTGTTATTCAAATTTGGATATAAAATTTTGAATTATAAATTAAATAATTAATATATCTAAATTTTATATAAAAATTAAAATAAAATTTATTTTTTTAATTTATTTAATAAAAAGAAGCTGTTAGTTTATTTTTTAAGTCTAAGTTTATAAATTCTTTAGCATTAAAAAGTTTTTATAAAATTAATATTTTGTATTTAAGCAAAATCTTTAACATTATAAAAACTTTTTATCTTTAATTTAATTCTAATTTTTAATTTATAATACCTAAACTTCTGATCTTTAATTGCACTTAGAAATGTATACCAAGTTTGCAATACAAACTTTTTAAACTATAAATAAATTTTAAAATTAAATGTAATATAGTATAATTAAAAAAAATTCAAAACAAACATTAATTTTATCAAAAATTATTTATAGCTTAAAAATCAATATAAAAAACTTACTCTTTACTTTAATTAAATTTTATTAAATAATTTTACTATATAAACTACTTTTTTTAAACTTTTAAATTTGACTTTTTTTTTTTTTATTAAAGACTATACTTTGTAGTAATATTTTATTAACTTTTATTAGATTACTTATTACAACTATTTTTATAAAGATGAAAGTATAACTAATCATGTATGTAACTTTTGGTTGCCTATTTAAGTAGTTCATCCTAAGGTTCTACATTAGATGCTATATCTATAATCTATTAGAAAATTATCTATTTAAACTTTCTGCTTATCTGCTCTGTTATAATATAACCTCAACTAACCCTTTGTATATACCTAACCAGTATACCATCTGAGCAGTATGATACCTATCTTTTTGTATTGGTTTTTAGGCCATTATATATTTCAGAATATGTCATCTATCAGTAAAACACAGGGGTACCCTATTGTTAATTATCTATCTACTTTTAGAACACTAATAAGGACTATTCTTACAGAGTTCACTCAGATCCTGACACTGACCTTATAGCATATTTCTAGTACTTTTAGTATATCTCTGCTTTGATCCCAAACTTTCAATCCAAATAGTCCGAAAGAACTATAACCTGTTCTTGATATATTAAGGCTAACCTAATATTCTTTTTCTTTAGTTCAAAATCTGATGACCTAGTTGGTGGTACCTCTCATTTAAGGTTCTTATCTGCCTTATTTCTCTATATTAGTATCCATTTCTTAGATCTAATCTTTATAGTAGTAATATCAAAGATCTATATTACTTCTCTGCTTGAAATTTCCAAGTGAGCTCTGGCTTCTTAGTTTTATAGATTTATATGGTTCAAGGACTTATTTTAGGTTTGCACCATCTGGTATTAGTTTGCATTTCTCTGTGTAATTAAGGTTACACAAATGTCTCAGACCTGCCAGTCATGCTAGTATGACTATAGTTACAGTTATCCTATCACAACTGATCAACAAAATCCATCACTGTAATACCATCTATATATTACATAAGTGATTATCCAAATTTTACTGTCAATGAGTTTTGAACTTACAATTTACCACTTGGGGGTATGACAACTTATCCACTTTACTAAGTCATCACATCTTTTAAATCTGACTTTAATTTTAATAAATTTTAAAAATTTATTTGAGTTACAAATTTAATATATATATTTAAAATACATTCTAATTCTAACAAAATTGCTATAAAAATATATATGATTGCTAAAATGAAAATTAACTAATACTAAAATTTTAATTGTTTATTGTAAAAATTTAAACATATTGAAACCTTTTGTGCAAGCTTTTTTTAGTTATTATAATATATTTAATATTAAACATCATTGTTGTAATCTAGTATTAATAAAAACAAACTCAAATAATTAGACCTCTTTATAATTACCTTTTATTAAATTATATTACCTTATACAATCAATAATCACACTCTTGGTTTTAAGAATTTGGTGCTTATAGAAAGTTTGTGCCTATATAGAAGTTAAATTTTATAAGTATTATATAAGTTGATTTTAAAATTTTATGTAATTATAATCAAATATGACTATAAAGAAGTCTGACTGTAATTATATAAAATTTTAAAATCAATTTATATAACATTTATATAATTTAACCTCTATATAGACACAAACTTTTTATAAACATCAAATTCTTAAAACTAAATATGTAATTATAAAAAGGTTTAATTGTATATAAATTAACACAATTTTTTTAAAAATCTGTTAATGCTATCCTTTTTTATATAAAATATTTAATCACTGACTTTTCTGACTGTAATTATTAATTAAGGTTAGATTATGTAAAGAAATGACATTAACATGTCTCATTTTTTATATTAATATAAAAACAAAAAAGCCACCTATACTGCTCAAATTACCAAATAAATAGCTGCGCGACGTTGTCACGCAAAACCAGAAACAGAAGGTGGATTTTCAGATCGAGTTGCAGATAAAACTGCTTTCGTCATAAGTTTTTTGTTTGCTTAACTTTTATAAGTTTTATTTGCAACTTTAAATTAGATTAT